ATTTGCTTTCTTTTAAAGACCAAGCAGAAGCAAGAAAATACTTTTTTTTACCATACACAAAGAGGAAGTTCTTATACATTACATCTCTAAGTTACGGAACTCACCAGCACAGGACATTGTGAAGGCCAGAGGAATAAATGGCTTCTAAAGAGAAGGCAATGTGATTCATGGAAGAGGATCCATCAGGAGGTACTACACACAGGGAGCAGGATACAGCTTTGGCCACAGGAAGCCCTGAAAGTTTGCTGCCAGGTGCACCAGAGGGGCTGAGCACCCTTTTCTAGACACATCCCTATTTCTTCCTCAACTACCAGCCACTGTCTAAGTCAGGGAGTGTCCCCCAGCCTGACATGGAAACAGTTTGTGGGAAGCATTGCTTTTCTGCCTCCCTTCCTAATCTAGGAGCACTACCCCTGAAATACCTGGAACTGACTGCCCAGCCACTGAGAATCAGTGGCAGTCCTTCCCTTGCTGTTATATAGTGCTGGAATTCTCCAGAGGAAGCTACTATTTTCAGTGATTTCCAGTTCACTCTCTGCAGGCAAAGTCCTGTTGTTAAAGCATGTGGGAAACTCTCAGTGAGGGTGCACAGAAAGCACAGACAACAAACCTTCAAAGAAATGCCAGCCAAAACAGCTGAGAGAAACCAATGGAACTGTAATCTAAGATACTCCAAAAACACTGACTAAATTTATTTACTTTAAATATTTACATAAACACTGCTATTTTTGACCTGTGCACTGTTTTGTTTCAAATCTAACAATAGTTTATTTATGGTTAATACCTCCATCTTGTTTTGCCCCACAGCCATCTGTTCCCTTCCTCAAATCCCCAATCCCTGGAAGCAGCTGCATGTATAATGTCCTTCTCTCTAAAGACTTAGATGGCATCTATAGCTCCCTTAGCACCAGATCCTATAAGAAAACCACTCTAGAAGGCTAAGAGTGAGCTGGGGACAACTGTTTTTGGGGTTTGGACTTGTAGCCTTTTTCTTACTGGCATCAAAACCTAGCCCAAACTCGATATGCCTTGAAGTATATATCAGCAGCTTTGTATTCATTTTGCAGAAGGGTGGTCAAAGGCTGTTTTCATGCAGTCCTTCCTCTCATGGCCAGCTCAGGAATTTGCTCCTGCAATGTGATGCAGGCCTTTATTACCTGCAGGGGCTGTCACTCTAGCATTTTTTTACCCGCTAAGACAAGCAGCAAAATTTAACTCAGACCTCCCTCAGTGATGCACGAGAGCTGCTACAGCAGAGATCAGCCTGATGATTCCACTTTCTGAGCACACAGACCACAAACTGTTAGTGAGGCTGACAACAGCTAATTCAGTCATCACCTACTCCCAGGAGACCAGTGGGAAGTCAGCTGTTGGAAATGCAGCATTGTCAGAGTTAGCTCTGCTCAATTTTCCCTAGAGATTTCTGTGCTATATCCAAGTACAAGGCTGCCCATCAACATTTCTTTTAGAGTTGCTTGTGGACTACACAGACATAGCAAGTATTGGATCAAAACATAATGTCCTGGCTGACATGACAAGCACTGTTGAAGCACTTATGTTGGAAAAGAATGAGTAAGTCTATGTTTTGCCATTTGCATTTCTGTTTGTTTACAAGAAAGAAATTTTAAAACCCCCAGCTTTTGAAATCATGCAAATATTTAATAATATTTGTAGCTGAGTCAGCTGATTTAAATAAGTAGAACAGAAATGCTCTTCAATATACTTCAAGGACTGTGCTGGCAATAGGTTGAGTAAGGTCTCAGAGATGTGTCCTTTGCCAGCTAAAATTAGTTTAGGGAAATTCTGATAAGGCTGAGCATTTAGGATCCCTGTATGCCTATACAGGAAAATGTTTGTGGGCACAAGCTTCATCTTTCCTCAGGTAGTAAAGGACAAGAGGTGCCTAAACAAGCCTTTGTAGGACCTGAAACAAGTAGGACCTGAGCAGCTGATGTCCACCATCCTCCAGTGTGACTGATGGGGGACAGAAACAGGATCCCCAGAGCATGCAGCAGCACCACAGCTCAGCTGTCATCTCTCCCATCCCTGCTCTAACAATGGGAAGCATGAAATGCTCAGACCATAACTTTAACCAAAAAGCCAATGCAAGCACCTCAATATTACAGTTGGTAAGAGTTTAAATTAAAAAGGAAAAAGTTGTTAAATACAGATGAAGAGTGTACTAAAAGAAAAATAGACACAATGGATGCCCAAGCCAGACTTACTCATCTGCTGCAAGTTCTCTCTTGGAAAGCATCCGGGAGTGTAGGCTGAACATGCCAGACTGCAAGGTGGGTGCCCTGGGAGAAAACTGCCTGTGTCAAAATTCTGTTCATTGATGAATCATTGTGAGATTTTCAATCCAGACTTTACTCCAAATGGATGAAACCGGTCTCAAACAACTGTCAGGCTTTGATGTTAAAAAACATGCAACACAACAAACAGCAACTCCAAACTGTCCTTTTCTCCTCAAGGGTTCTGCTGTTTAAAGGTCTGTGGGACAGAAATTTAACAGCACTGTTGCTTTAAGGCCCATGTGTTCATTCCTGCTATGACTAAGAAAATTGGATGCAAAATGCATTTTCCTGTCACTCCCTAAAGGTTAGGAAATACTGCCCAAGCAATTTTGGCCTGATAAAACTACAACAGGTTCAAAGTGAGAAGGTTCATTTTTTCCCTTACAAAACTGTACCACATTTCAACCATAAAACATCAGCATGCTGAGGGCTGCTTGTAAGCTGGGATGGAAAAGAACCTCTGAAGACATGCACCAGCCCAATTCACTTAGGATATTAACAGATCTAGTCAAGATAAAATCTAGCAGGGAAAAATACATTGAAGTCAGATGAAAGGAAAAGTTTAAAATTACCATTCTTTGACAATGAAAAGGAAAAAGTGACTCACATTGGCCTCTATCTACCATACCAGCCACATTAGGAGTTAATTGGAAATGACTGCTTACCACATGGCCACTTATTTGGCTCATTAATAGGCACTGACTTAATTTGGAAAGGATTTTTAGTGCCTTTTCCTAATTAATGTTTTTCTAAGACACCTATGATGCATCTTTGCATAAAAAAACATTTGCTTAATTTTCTTCCCTTCAAACACAGCCCTTCACACTCTCTTATGCAATAACTTTCCTGTGCTCACTGTAGCAGCAGAAATACACATTGCAGCCAAGAGCAGCTGAATAATAACACATAGGAACAGATTCTTTTCCCTCCTGATTTTCTACTTCTCACATCCAAGTGGAGCAATGGGACTTGACAGCTCTGAGTTCAAACTTAATTCATCATTAGGAAATTATTCAAAAAGTTATAACGAGATAACTAATTTAATACGCTTTGCTTCAAGGTTTATTCCTTGGCTTTTTTCCCAGATATAAAGCATCTCTCTGCAATTATCATGCAGATGCTGCTGAAAAGACTGTAAATGGTTGCTGCTAATTTAACAAGAGATATGTTGGCACTGGCAGAAAAAAAATTAGAGGAAAACTGAAGTTGACTGAAAGCTCAACTGATCCCTGAAAAGAACATGGTCAAGCTATTAAAGCAAAATAATTCCTTTCCATTTGTTGGTGGTTACAAGTCTTCACCAGAGACTTTGTCATCATGTCAGGCCTGTATTGCAGAGCACCAATTCAACACAGTGCAGTTTTAAATACATTCAAGAAACATTCTGGTACAGAACCTTGGCTTAAGCTCCCCACTAATTTTAGTTCCTTTAGTGCTGAAATTAAAAGTCCTTGTAGGCTTAGGCCTTTATACATTCACCAAGGTTTGGAGGTGGGGATGAAATAGAAAAGCAACAGTAGGATTAAAATATTAGAAGTATCTGGGGAAGGGATACCAAGAAAGGTGATTTCACCACAACAAAGTAACTGCAATGCATCACATGCCCTGAGAGGCTGTGAAATCGTTACCCTTGAGAATTCCAAAAGTGGATGTGACCCTGGACAAGCCTATCCAAGTTTAAAGTCACCAGTGGGGTGAGTGGGGCTGAGTCCAGAGACCTCCAAGGCACCCCTCTAGCCTGATTCCTTCTCTAACATCCAACAATAGCTCACACGTGAAGACTAAGGCAACTGGAGATGCCTAATTTAAATGAGATTCCTTGTCTGCAGAGGGTGAGCCTCAAGGCAATAATACTTTCAGTGTAATTTGTGGGAAGGTGCTTGATTTGGTTTTTTTTCCAGATACTTTTGGTTGAAAATGCTCCGCTGTTAAACTCTCAGACCACCAGAGTTATTGGAAAGAGTCATTCACTGACTTCAGCCTGCTGGAGGTCACTGCACTTCACCCTACATTGCTTCTTATGATTCCCTTCAAGGGTTGCACACAGCCAGCAAAAAGCTTCCTTAAAAAGATACAATAGTGATTTTTTTCAAGGACTCGTCTAAAACCGTAATTCTTGTGGAATTTGAAGAGTTTAGCACCCAAAACTCTGTCCTCACAATGTCCTGTGCTCGAGCCCTCTGTAACGTGCCTGGCTGCACGTGCAGAGCTCAGGTCTCCGTGCTGTGCACCCTCAGCTTCCACTCACACAGAGCTGTAGCTGACATCTAGCAGGTCTTGCTTTTACCAGAGAAGCCACACACTGGGTCCAGAAGGTCCTTACGTGAAAAAAGCCTACTGCCAAATAACTGTAGGTTTCAGAAGCTGTGTAGCAAAATAAAAGCCAGCAAACTACCTTTACAAAGGATTGCTTTCCTTACAGACATGTTACAATGCAGACCAGTCATGTCAAATGTGGTTCACTTTGAAGGTCACTATAAGTTTCATGAGTTATGAAAGTAATTCAAAAGTTATTCCAAGAAAAATAAATTATATCTTGTATAAAATAATCCATGGGAGACTAGTAAAGAACCATCATTCCTTACTTTCAAGACAACTTTAAAAAGTGCAATATAAGCACACAGTGTTGTCAAGGCAGTTCTCCTTGTTCATCAGTAAGGTTCAGTCAGATCCACAATGCTGGGTCTGGGATGTTTGAAAAGATTAAATAAGTCTCGAGTTTTGCAGGAATTGTATGAGCACTTGATAGACAAATTTGTACTGGGCTATGGTCTGGATCATAAACACTCTCTGCTCCCGCAGGTGTCTCAGCATCACAGGAACATCCATTTTCTGTAAAGCAAAGGGGGAAAAAAAGCAAAAGGATGTGTATTCATTAAATCAAACAATCACTGTCTCAAATATCAGTTAGCTGACACAGGGAACTATACTATATTTATAGAAGACAAAGTTTCTGTGGACAAAATTAAATGCACAGGCAAAGATACAGATCCTTTCACTGAAGGGCAGGAGAACTCACTGCCACCAAAAGATCCAGAAACTCCAACATCTTTATCTGCCACAGCCAAGTGTATGATAGCAAATAGTGCTCCAGGAGAAATAGGACTGTAAAGTGAAACAAGGACCCAATATCCACAATATGTGTTTTGCAGACTCCAGGCCAGCATCAGTTTGTTGCCACCTACTGAATATCCACTGGGACATATTAGGGGTTCTCCAAGAAGGCATCTTCCACCTTAGTTTCACCCAAAAGAAACTCACTTGTGTGCCCTGAAAATGCTCTGCAACAGGAACTAAAGTCCAGTAAGTAGATAAGGATAAGGAAAGATAAGGATAAGGAAAGATAAGAAAAGCCACTGGGAAGGCACAGCACTAACCCCATTAAGCAGGCACAGGCAGCCTATAATGGTCTGAACTCAAAACCAAATGAGTTCTGTGAAACAGAGGCCCATGAGCTGAAGCGTTAGAAATCACTGCACATTTCATTAGGATGCTATCATCAGATTTCTGGCATTTAGGAAGCCAGAAACCTATGATGCTGTTGTGTTTTATCTGTTACAACAGGTACACAAGGAGCTATTGAGAAGTTGTTGAGCCATGAAGCTCAGCCTGCTAGGCTCAAATTCAAGCAGCGTGTAATGTGAGCCAAGCTGAGGAACACAAACCTTCTATGGCAGCAGTAAAAAACGTGAGCACTAAGACACACAACTGGTTTTGGGGAAGCTCTTAAGCAAGTCAAGATATAAAACTGAAGAGCAGCGACCCTATCAGGCAACATAAACTGCACTTTGTAATGCCTGCTTGCAGAAACACCAAGAGGAGCTTAGCAAGTCTTTTGACTGAGATTGCTGCTAAGCCTTGGAGCCCCAGCTGAGCATGGAATCTGCTTCCAGGGACATCTGAAGTTTCCTGGAAAGTTTAAAATAAAAGTCACGCTGCATATCCATTTCTGTCCATATATAAAAAACTCAGAATCTCCATTCCATGTAAACAAGTATTAACTCATAGGCTATCACTTTCTGAAAACAAGGCCAAATATTCTGCCACATACCCCAACAAGCTGTTATAAAAGGACATCTCTAGAGAGTTAACGAGTGTAAATATTTGAGATGAGTAATGTCATATTATTATCAAACAGGTGCAAAGAAAAATGGAAGCTCTTTCCAGTTAACTTGGCTAACTTGGAGAAGGCCTCCCTGTGGACTCAGATGCTGATGAAATGGTCCGTGCTGAGCAGAGTCATGTGGAACCTGATCTCACCTGAACAACTGTAACAAAAATGCAGGCCAGCCTTGACCTGCACATAATGTTCTTCTCTCAGGTTTTCATTAGCTTTTAGTGGGCACACAGTGATCCATGCACCTCCTCAAAATGGAGATGGCTTTGCCCTCTCTCAGAAATGGAAGAAAACCCCATCCTGCCTATTTAGTCTCACTATTTATAGCCAGCTTAGTATTTGATTCCAGGTAAGGAGAATCCCTAAATTCACCTTCATTACCATGTACATGTCAAAAAAAAAGAAAAAAAAATACACCTAATACTTTGCTAAGCTGGGACTTGCAAACAGAACTGAAATGCTACTTATTTCTGCCTCCCAAACCAAAGCTCTCCCATGTGAAAGCATGCTGCAGATGCACTCATGAGTTAATGTCCCAGTGCCAAGTCTGGACTAAAAGTTGATAGAGCAGGTTCTCAATTACTTTCTCATACTATGTGTCTACAGCAGTAAGGATGTAATGATGTGACATTTACTTGCCATGCAGCAGCTACTGAAACTCTATCCCTGCAATGAGATACAGCTTTGGACTCAACCAGCCATTGCCCAGAAGCCACAGTGACTGAAGCTGTACAGAATTTGATTAAACATGACTTTTTACCAGAACCTGAAACCTCAGGCTCAAGAGTTCTGGTTTCTGTTCCAGCACTGCTGCAGGTTTTTCAAAATGCTCTTCATCAAAATTTTCAAACTCCCTCATGATTTTTCTTCACTGCTAAAATGTTAATACATTTACTTGCTAGAACACTTCTGTGAAAACCAGTTCCTAAGACTAAAACATTTTAAGTGAAGAATAATTTCATTTCAAGAAAAAACCCCAACCAATTCTAGTAAAAAATAAACAAATGAAAAGGAAGTCCTCTTTGCAGAATCTGTCACAAACTGAAAACATACTGTCAAGATTTTTAATACTTTTTTAAAATTAGGTTTTAACACATCAAAAACATTAGCTTGGTACAATCTAGAGAAACGAAGTCCTTAATGAAAATTGTATTTATTGTTAATGATGATTTTCATTATTAATCAAGACAAAAGAATGCTTTAATTAAGGGACATCAGTGAAATCCCTTATTATTGAGCACTACAATCAGGGCCTAGTGAAGTTGATGAAAGCTCATATGAATGATGTCAAGGCTCACCCCCATGCTTAGATGTTGAGGTGCCAAAGCTACTCTTTGCCCAAGGGGTGACTTCTGTAAACCACAGACTGACTTCTGTAAACAGAGGTGGCCAGACCCTGTTGCACAACCCTTAGAGTTTGCTTCTGTGCACATATAGAGGGTGCTGTAAAGCTACACTGATGCTCACAAGCAATTCAGGATGGCTCTTATAACTCTCCAGCTTTCCTCTGGAAAAGAAAGCAGAAATTTCGTGGCTGCCATGTGAACAACAGAAGCAGTCACTTCCATGTGTCAGTGCATAAGGAAAAGTCAAGCAGGGCCAAGAGTTGGAGCCATTGCCCCACACTGGAGCAGCTACTGAGCAGCAGTCAGCACTGGGAGCTGCTGGATTCCCAAACCACATCCCCATGGGCCTTTTCTTGGCGAGGATACCTCCTCTTTTCCCTTTCTACCCCAAATATAAAGCAAAAGAACAAAGTGTCACCTGTGACATATATCTACAGGACAGCTTCACCTTCAGTGAGGCCCAAGCAGAGTTGGAGATTTGTCCCAGCTGATCTGAGCCCAAGATCTGTAGGGGTTTTGTAACTCCAGAATGATGAGCTGCTGGAGTTCTCAGTCTTCCCTGGACTCACCCAGTGGCTGATTATTGGAAGGGGCAGATGATATATGTCTGTTTGTCACTCTTACTGCATTCTTATCTCTACAAGCAGCTTTGGTCTTAGAGCATTTTCTTTGGCAAGAGAAACCCCTGGTTTCCACAGCTGTCATGCAAACTGTGTGGCACACTGTTAGTCAAGATGTGATGCTCCTCCTAAACCGTTTCCCAGTGACAGATGAAAATTAGGTTGTTACCCATGGTTGCTCTACTGGGGCACTTGTTCCTAACTCCAGACTGTGTTACTCATAATGCTGGCTGCAACCCTAAAGCCCTATTCCCCACAGGAATACATAAATACACTTATTCTTAAAACACAGTTAAGTTTCATTCCTGGTGCGATTACAAGAGAGAGGAAGGAGCCCAAGGAGAGAACTTAGAGAGCAGAAAACTTCCTTTAAAAGAGCAAGGACATTATTCTCTAGCCTCTCTCAGGTAGTGCTCGTAAACACACTGTCTCTAGTCTTTTAATTAAATACAGGTATGGATTAGACTAAATTCTTAAAAGAGGGAAGAAGGCCCTAACTTCGAATATATTAAAGTAATTCTAATAAGAAAATAATATCAACTATACAGAAAACTACAGCAAGTAAGGGAACCTTTGCCCATCACATTTAAGGTCCTTGTCCTGCTCACAGAGGTAACAGAAAGAAAGCACTTCAATGCCTTTTAATTTCAACCTGAGGAATGTAGCCAGTTAGCCAAGGGATAAGCTGGGGGTTTGCAAAGGAAGCTGACTTACCTCATTATGCTCCAAGCAGCCAATCATGAGCTCTGTCAGGATGACCACGCCTGTCCTGCCCACGCCGGCACTGCAGTGCACCACGATGGGAGGGTTGCAGGTGTTGCTGCTGTCCAGCACGCTGTTGGTGTGCCGACGCACCGACTGGATCTCCTCCAGGTAAGCTGCAAGGGGAAAAGCAGGCAAGGATGCAAACATCTACATCTCTAAATGTAAAAATTAGGAGGGGAGGGGGAAAGAGTGTGGAAAAGTTCTTCTCTGTCAAAGTGGCAATAACTTACATTTTTTACAACATAATAATTATCTTGGCCAGGGTGCACTGAGCAGCACTGCATCCAGCAAGTACCAGCTGGGTGTCAATTATTACTTGGGAGTCTGCTCCTTTAAATTAAATAGTTCTTTTAAAAAATTAAATTCTGTTTTCCCCCTTGCAAATCTCCAGGTCCCCTAAGCAGATGATTCTAGACATTACTTACAGCAATTCCTGCTATTAACAGGCTGGGATCAAAACAACAGCTAAGTCCCATTGAAACTACTGCCTGTCAAAGCCAGTATCACATGGGAAGCAAGCGTCCATCTGCCCTGTTTCCTCTCTTCCTTCTCTCTTCTAGACTCTGACAGAATCTTCCCCCCCTCTCTCTGCTCAGGGTTTGTTTCTCAATAGCTACAAGCCCTTCTGGGAGATCACTGCTTTGTTTTCCCTGAAGCCATTTGTAGAAAGCTAGGGGCTCAGGAACAGCTGCCTTGTGTGGCTGTCCTAGCATCATTCAACACATCCTGCTGTCAGACCACGCTGAGAACCTCACATGCTGAAAGCTCGCTTGGCTTCCCAGCACTCCAAGTGGGAAGTGAGACTTGAGCCAAGCTCTCCTGCTCTGACCCTTGGTGTCAGGGCACTGCAGCCCCAGCTGTCCTCTCCCCACAGGCAGGATGGGGCTGGAGCCCTACCAACGTCAGAAAAGCTGCATTTCAATGCACACAGGGAAATGGGACTCCAAGTGGTGGCAAACAATGGGAGAGAGGAAATGGGGACAATCAGGTTCCAATTACTGCCATGCCCAAACACAGCTACAGGGTACGAGAAACAAAGTATGAAACAAACAAGGAATTGGGCAATAGCTTTTCCTTAAGACAGATTCCCTGGTACTCTTTTGCTGAAGCTGAAATGACATTTTTTATTTTTTGCCTTGGTGACAGATCTGGGGAAAGGAGGATGCAGTATCTACATGCAGTGTGTACCATGCAAAGGAGAATGCATCACTTAAAGACTGGAGCTGTGGCAAAACTGAAGAGGAGCTAATGGATCTTCCTGAGAGAGGCCTTGGCTGCCACAGAGCAACACTGCAGCTGCAAAGCTTTCAGGAACTAACATGACAGGCATCTCCAACACATCAGTACACCATGTACAGACTCCTTCAGTGGTAATTTAAAGATTTCTGCATCATTCCCCACTGTACTGCCAGAGATGTGTCTTTAGTTAAATACTAGTTGAATTCCTGTTACTTAATATGGGAGTGCTTATTACTTGGTAAGAATCAGGAAGTGTCATTGACACATTACAGATGAATATAATTGCTGTATTTTCAGAAAAGCATATGCCAGGACCATATGTAATTGGGGAGGCCCTTGAGCATTGCCTGGGTACCTGTGGTTACAAGGGTGGCACTGCATGTGTGATAGAGCCCTCTGCTCTCTTGCAAAAACTAAAACTGGAGGAGATGCACCTTATTTCAATAGCAACTGATCCTCTCACTCAGACCTTTCTAATCACATTTGTGTACAGCCTATTATCTCCTGCATTCATTAAGTAGTTAGGAAATGGCAGTAAGTAATACCAACAGATCAACCAACCGAAGTACCCCATTAATTATAATTTCCTGAGTTTTTGGCACTGCTGCTGCCTTGGATTTTTCCTCCTGCTAATCACTTTAGTTCCTACCTCTGGAATATCACTTTTTCTTTTTTTTCCTCCAAATTGCAGCAAAGTATAACCTAGTTGAGGCCTGTGTATAGCACAGCAACCACCTGATATCAGTCCCAGCTGTAACTAGGTACAGTGAACTGAATCCAGTGTAAGCAATCTTTTTCTTGATTTAACATGGAAAATAAAGGAATCTTACATAAAAAGCCTTGGACTTCTTCTGGACACCCATGGTCTGGCCAGTCAGTATACTGCAAATGCCACACTGTCCTCTCCTGCCCAGAGAGAAGATGCTTGACCTTCAGACCAGTAGTTGCAAAGCAGCCAGAGTCCGTGCGGAACTTGGTTGTCACCTTGAACTTCCCATAGGTGGCTGAGCTGTGCTTAGAGCCCAGTTTAGGCCAGTAACGATGGCTCTTACTTCTTCCTCCCTCCTTGATAACAAAACAAGACAAAAAGCCATTAGTTTCTGCAATTCTCTACAAACAAAGGGTGTAAATCTCTCTGGATAAACCAAATATTCTTATTTTAAAGCATTGGAAGAGTAAGGAGCATCCCACAAAGTTAAGAAAATACCCATTAAAACTCTCAGTCATATAATATTTTTAAGTGTAAAACTACTTGAAGATTCTTGTCTTGTGACAAAAGACAGCAGCTGCCTAAAACACCTTGGTAAATATTCTCCTCCTGGGGAAGACTCTCCTTTAATTAGAAGGAGAATCTCTTCAGCAGCTTTAAAGTGTCTGTTCTTGATCAGCCTTGGGAACTGGACAGTGACTTGATGTGCTCTGCTACTCCCTGTGTTTGCTGAAAGCAGCCAGGCACGAAGCCGAATGCGGTGTTAGTTAACAGCATGTGCCAGTTTTTACAACATAGCACATAGTTCTTGGATTACAATAGGAATAACTGCTTTGCTTGGCATAAGAATAAAAAGTTGTGGGGTGCTTTTATTTGGGGGTTTTTTGCCTTTTTTTTTTTTCATGGACACTTCTATGGAAACAACAGCTTCTGTTCTCTTTTCAGCTGATAAGAGTGATGGTATACAGAATTGGCCTTGGATGGTGTGGAAATCTCTGTCATTTTAACCAGGAGCAAGTTCAGTGCTCTCACATTCCAATGGAAACATCTTTGTTTGGCTTGGCCCAAGCAGAGGGAAGGAGGGCTCCTGCTTGTTTCACTTCAGCATTTGCCAAACTGAGTGTCAGGAAGTTAGGAAGTATAGTATGAGAGCAGTACAGGCATATGTTCAAACAGAGCCAGAGGAAAAGGGGATGTTGATACGAAAAACAGGTTACTGGAGTGGGAAGTGATGATAATAGGAGATTGGTTCACATCAGAAAGAACTATTCTGTGATTTCACATACCTCTTCAGCTGTGACCATGGCTATGACATTCACCCCCTGTTCCCACACCATCTGCCAGAAGTCATGGCATGTGTGTGGCAGGGGCCCTTGGGTAGCAATGTAGTGCCACTCCTCTCCACCTACAGTCACCTGGGAGAAAGGGAAAAAGAAACAACCAGTCAGTGCCTGAATTCTCAGCAGTGTCTGTGCCAGAACTGCCTTTTAAACAAAAGAACTACAGTGAAATCTTTACTTCTTTGTTTTTCTACTTTTGGTTAAAATTGTGAACAAAAATCATCATTTTGATAAGAGCAAATCTGACAAAACATAACCTTCAGTGCTAACCTTCAGCGCTTCCATGTCCTGTCTTGATGCCCATAACCATAAAGCTTTGGTCTAAATGCCCTCTTTCTTGCCATTGCATCTGGATCATACAGACAAAAAAACCCCAACAACCAACCAAATAAAAAATCTGTGGATTTTACTCACCTTGGGTTTTTCAGTTCAGAACCTGAAAACTACCACTGAGTAAATGCAGCACATCAAATGTCTTTCAAACACCATGATAAATTTAAAATAACCCAAAGCTGTAGTCATGTAAATCTATTTCCCAATACACAACTGGTTTACCAACCACATCTTACAGAAGTATTTGTGTATTTGCATGACAGGTAATGAAATTCTTTTCAAAGCATTAACACATAGATTTACAGACTGTAAATTCTGAAGTGGCCTGAATAGGGCCAGCATTGCCTTGCAGTTACCAAGTATAAAACACTGCTTCGTTTAACTGACAGATGCAGTTTAAAAAAAATCACTTTTGTATTAAAAAAAATCATAATTTTATGACACAATTTGCTTCACATCAGAAAAAGCTTACAGAATCTTTTTTCTAACATTTTTGGTACAAAAACAAAGTGCTTTTAGAACTACTACATATCATTTCAAAAATATGTTTACCAGAAGAACCAGCCAAACTCATTATTTGGAAAGTTGAAATATTTTTCCTTCTTAGTCTAAGGCCTCCTAATTCTGTTTATTAGCCCAGAGCCACTTCTCCTGAAGTTATAAATCCCAGAGAAGAAGATTTACAACAAAAATGCTGACACATCCATAAATATCAATGTACTGGCAGACAACGCTATGAGGAACAATCAATAACTCTGACAGGTTCAACCACATACTGTGTTTGAGGTACAAGTCTTTGAATACATTCTCAGAAATAAAATCAATTTATTTATTAGTCAAACAACTGTTTATTAATCTGAGATGCTTGGGGTTTTACACCTGTAAATAACAGTTTTTGTATGATAACAAGTTTCTCACTTCACTGAAAACTGTTTTACCCTCTACAACAGCTCCTTTTCTTCATTTCATACTATGCAGCATTTTCTTTTTTGAATGATGGTTAAAAACAGCAAGACCAAGGGTGCTAGACTTCTTAAGTTCTTGTACTAGATGATTAATACAGACTGCACAGCCCTGAGGAGTGCTAGTACAGCCTTACTGAGCTGTTTAAGTCAATACTGACCTGACACAGTCAGTCAGATGAAGTGCTCTTAAGAACCATGTGCATAGTCTTCACAAATTTAATTACTATTTTTCTCTTTGGTATAGATGATGACCTTTGTATCTTAACAGTAATGATCCATGGTAAATATGCAGAGAATTATTGTTAAACTGTGGGCCTTGCAGACCAAGCAGTGGGAGCTGGAATCCTCCAGGCATGGATCTTATCAGGATGACAGAGGAGTTTTCTTTGTCTACTGACTCCTGGTCCAAGCCTCCTGGCACATGACATGAAAGGCCCATAAATAGTCTGAAAGGAATGGGATGCCTGGAATGTTTACTGCATTCTAATGCCCTAACTGCAGGAAATTAAAAATTAAATATTGGGCTGAAAACACAGGCACACACTATGCTGCTGAGGTAAATTTCACAGATGCAATTTCACCTTCGAAGCAAAAGCACATCTGCTTGGCTTCTGAAAGCGCTGCTCCAAGTGCAGGAGGGAAACCCTGCCAAGGCCCTGTGTCAGGCATCAAAGCACTGCTGCCTGGTCCTGGGTGCTCCATGGACACAAGATGTGTCTGTGTCCAACAGCAACACACAAGAGAAAATGTGGGCCCAAAACTAGCCAGGGAAAATAGCATCCTTTAGGAATATCTTCTTTTTCTCCACCTACTATGAGGTAGAAATTTTGGGGCTCAGAAATTCATCATCATAGCAATGTCTGATTATGCAAAACCTCAGTATCTGCTTCCTACCAGGCTATGCAGAGAAGTGACAAACTGCCAGGATCCTGGTTCAGAAATTATTCAGATAAAAAATTCAGATTTGAATCACCAGGATTTAACACAGTAAATCACAGCCAAGGCCAGCAAGTCTCTTTAAACTTTAAAAAGGCTTTTACTCAAGGAAAATATTAATTTAACAGGATGTTTTATTCATTATTTTTGAATTATTTCTTTTAATTTGGATTTTGACAATGAGAAAACACAGAAAATCCTCTCTTAGAACAATATCTGTCATCTGATGCAGAGGATTTCTGTTACTTCTCTCAGGGCACAGTAAAGGCCAACAGAGGACTTTGCAAATACTGCTGGAAGCTTAAAGAAAAACAAGCATCTGCAGTCACTGGAGCATAGTTCACTGTTAAAACTGACCATGCTTGTAAAAACAGTCAGGTTGTATCTTTAATTATTTCTACATTGAATTAACAAGAAATCTGAAGTTTCTTGTTCAAAACATAATTTGAAACATGAAGTTCAATGCAGTTCCCAGTCAGAGATGCAGGGATCTTGTTGGTAAGGTCAGTGCATACTTTAAAACATTGCTTTATCACACTGGTGCTGATCTAATGCGTTCTCATGATGGTTGAGAAACATGGCACCTCTTTCTACACTAACCAGCAAAGTCCTTCCACAACAAGCTGGCAGAGGTGGGCACAAAAAAGCCAGGATGCCTCTCTAAATTGACTTCCCAGTCTCCAGCATCAAATCAACTTATGCATGTCAGTTGATAGGAGACTTTAGAGATGCCCACAGTGACCCAAAAAGGTATAACAATGCACCCTAAACCTTTTCAGAAACCTTTTCCTGAGGTACAGAAGATGCTGCTGTGCAGCCAGAAACGCAAACAAAGCTTTAGCACACCTTCATTTGGCAAGCCAAACTCAAGGAAGCCTTTACCTTTATGTGTGAAGCATTGATGTAGCCTGTATTGTTTTCTTTGGTCGGCACCAGCTCCACTCGGTTCTCCTCGTAAGGAACGACCTCCCTGATGCGGTTGCGCTCCGTGTTTTCAGGCAGGGCAGCAGTGGTGAAGATCCCATCTGCCTTCTTCTTTGGAATCTGCTCGTATTCTGTAAACACCATCCCCTCCTCCAGCTTCCTCCTCAAGATTTTGCACTAGGATTTAACAGAAAGGACCACCAACCCATTAATGCTTCTGGGAACAGCATTCACCACTAGACCCATCCATCCATTCTTTGAATTCCAATACACAGCCACAGCATTCTCTCACTCACTTCTTCTGCAGTTATCTGAGGAAATATGACACACTTATTTCTACCAAGTGAAACCACTGGCAAATTTTACAATTTTACATTCCACCTCCACATTTTTGAAGACTGATAGCATAAAAGGCAAACCTGTGCTAAATAATCTTGGTGCAGTAAGAATTTCGGTATGAATATATGATTTCAACATAATAGATATTTTAATTTTTTTCCAGGAAAAAGATTGTACTGCAAGAAGTGTGATGTGGCCCACATTTTCAAAATACTGCCTAACTCACAAGGATGCAATGCCTGTGGTTGAACACGATTCCACACAGAAACAAGGTGGAGGTGAAGTGCTACTCCCTGGGTACTAGACAACACAAGGCTGCAAATTTCTATCCAGAAAACCAGAAAGGTTCTTTGCAAATTTGCTTCTCAAATCTTAACAGCAGCAACTGTTTTTAATATCTGAAATTCCAGATACACACACACACCCGTGTGTGCAAACATCAGGAGGCAAACAACTTCTTTTTTTAAGAAATTAATCCCGTTAGAGACATTAACCAAACTCCTTATCTGTATCAGAACATGAAAGACAGTTTCTGTGGGTGAGCACTGCAGCATTTCACCCAACCAAGTGAAAAATGTGCAAAGTGTTATGTTTACAGATTAATCTTGTATGACATTGTACAGTCAGGTGAAACACAACAGCCTCCATTTTCACTGACTTCAGTAAATGTTCAAGACATTTGATTCTTTGCCTCCATTCAAAGACATACAGTGTTAGCCACAGACCTTTTGCATTAATGGCTCTGAAAACTTATAAGAGAATTTTTTTTCATATTTTAAATCAGATTTTAGTATTTTAGATACTTCATGCTGCTGGGAACAAAGAGAACAAACAAAATTTTGTGAGGCTCCATCTTACCCTCTCATCCATTGGCACCTTGGTGACTTCATCCTGGCTGTCCTCCGGCACTGGAACCCTAGCAACTGAGAGTCCGTTTAGTGCTGCCAACATCAAGGGCCTCTTCTGGGCCTCCAGGCCTGCCATCTTCTGCTTTTCTAGATTCTTTTGGCAAGAAAAGGCACGTTTTCATCTCTGTGTGATTATTTATAATGCCAGTAAAATGCTGGAATGTTTTTTTAATCTCCAAAATCTGCAACTCTCTGGCCAAGGAATGCAGATGATCACCATTAGCATCGTAAATTCAAATACAACCTCTATTCTTCCTGTTATTCCTCAAAGGCCTGCTCCTACATGAGCACAGAATTTTAATTTCAAAGAAGCAATCCCAGCATGTAATACAGTTTACATGCCATCAAAAGACACACAAATACAATCTCAAGCATTTTCCTGCAGACATTATGCTGGATGCAGGACACACAAAGCATCACCCTGTTACGTTAAAGTAGCACTACTGAAGCCAAGATACCTGGGGCATCTTTTGAAAAGCAATAATTTCAATCTATAACAATAAACACTAAAACACAGGCCATTGTTTCTCTTCTGTGATGATAATGCTTAAAATGAGAAGTCTTCTGATGCACTTAGCTTTTATGGTGTTTCAAACAGCACCCATGATATATTCTGCACTAAAAACTGAGCTTGCATGTCCCAGAAACTGAACGCAATAGCAGCCAGGGAGGGATATTATTTATCATATTCATGAATCATATTATGGTATGACATGGCGAACCAGAGCATGAATTTTAAATTCATCCTGCTGCCTCCTCCTTATGCCACTGGGAGTTGAAGCATCAAAAAAGACAGAGCATCTCCAGAAGCACCCAAATTAGGAATATTTTATTCCATTTCCTTAACAGCTCTTTTTGCTGGATTTGGAAGGAGGAATAAGCAGAAGGGGTGCCTGGTTTTCAGCACACATACGGAAGCTGTGGTCACCAGATGAGCCAAGCTCAGCTCCTAGAAACGCATGATGGAACCTGAATGCCCTCAGACGTATGCATATGCCTTGATTTTTCAAAACCTTGTGAGCTTTTTCCTCACCACTGAGTTCCTCCAGAGCACTAAACAAAAAAACAAACATCCAAACCCACTCCAGCTTTTCTTTCTTTCCCTGAAAGCAGGGAAATGCAAGTATTTTCCCTTTGTTTGGGAACTTTATTTAATTTTTACTACTTCAAAGGTGAAACAGAAGAAAGTCTGTGCTTAACAGATCAAGGTCACCAAAGTACCATTAATATAACACCTGATTCCTGTGACAAAAGGAAGGTCCACACATGTCAAGGTTCCTGATCTAGGCTGAAACCGCCTTAAAAGCTTAATGCCAAGGCTGCCCCTTTACTTCCCTTTTTTTTCTTTTTACTTTCTATTTTACATTTAGGAGTTGTCAAGGGCTAAACTCAGTCTCCATGTTGCAATTTAGTAGCTCAGGTTGTACTGTTAACAGTTACATCAGCACAAGGATTCCCAATGGACAAGAACAGCAACAGATATGTTTAGAAAATGTCTTTGAATACACAGTAGTATTTAAATCTAGCGAGTTATTGATCTAGTACACTACAAACTCTTTTCTGCTTTGGACCATATAGGTGCTTTATTAATTTGTTTCAGGAATTGTTTTTGTTTCAGACCTCAGTGCTGAAAATGAGAACTACAGCATACACTTGGGTTTCAGTGACTGCAGTTGCACTGCTTACAGCACTACACCAGGTATACATGTAGGTCACTAAGGGATAAGCACCCCTCATATTTCTGTCATTGCCTTTAAATACTTCTTATTTTAAATTTGTTGCAAGTTTAACAGAACCCTACGTCTCATACTTGAGTGCATTTCTAACAAAATAAACAATCCAGATGCTCAACCACACAGCCTCTACATCTGCTGCTTCTCTATTTAGATATCCGGTTCCTCAGTTACTGGCAAAACCAACAATCCATATTCTAGGGCTACCAGGGTTTTATTCAGAGAACTATGTTACATAAAGTGGCAGGAAGGGAATTAAAGATCATTTGAAAAAAATCCTGAGATGCCATTATGTTATGTGATACTTCACCTGACATGCTTGCAAAGGACGAATAAAACACCAGTGCCAAAAACATAACCTCCCACCCATCTCAGCATTCCAGACTCGCCCTGCCCTCAAATCCTAAAGGGAAGCAGGCATCAAGGGGGGATTTGCCATCAGTCTCCTCATCCCCAGATGACTGCCCTGCCATCCACCCATCTCCAGCCAGCACTGCTGCCAGGGTGGTGGCATCCTCAGCTGGGTCAGACACAGGTCTGGCCACCAGCCAAAGAGCCACAGCTGAGGCAACAGACAAGCCCAAGCAGTGCATGGGATCAACCCTCTTGATAGCCCACAAAACCAAATTGTATGTGGCACTTAATATCACATTTCCCAACTTTAAGCAAATCCACAGCTTCCCACCCCCACATTCCCTGCAGTTTACTGACCCAACAGATTTCTAGAATGGAAGTTGACCTGTGTGATTACTAATTTCCAAGAAGCCACCGCAACAGAGGAAGGCACTTACCCTCATCATGATCTCTCTTTCTATAATGCTGTCCTCAATAGAAAACATTTCAGACACAGGCCTTTCCTTGACCGGCTCTTTCTTGACCCGCTCCTTCACACTGGTGAGGTCAGGCTCCGAGATAGAGGGCCCCAGTGAAGACCCATTTATTGCCACTTGATCAGTTCGAGAGACACTGATGGCTTTGGAAGGCCCCGGCCTCATGGCCTTGGCCCTGGCGACAGCCACAGAAATGCTAACGTGGTCCTGCCTCAGCGCTCCATTGCTGACACTTTTACGAGGCCCAGGGTACTCTGGAGGAGGTTTATTTGGTATTCTAGCCAAGGCAGCTTGCAGCTGAGCACTGTACTCCATGTTCTCATGGAGGGCTGCTATCTGGGACACAGATTCCTGCGTTTCCTCCTCCTCTTCGCTTTCACTGCTGTGTATCAGCATAGTGGCATCGGAAAACGTCTTTTTGTGGTGGTAGTGAGGGACCTGCTGAACTTCATGGCCCATCTGAACCGGCTCTTCCGGCTGCACCTGCTCCCGCAGAGTGTTCCTGCGTGGCAGGGGGGCGTTTAAAGTTTTTAGGGCCATGGCTTCTATGCCACGCACCATATTGCTGATGACCTCCAGGCTGTGGCGCTTGTTCACGGCCGCGTGGTGCTTCACAGCCATGAGGGGCTCGCTGACCTCCTGCAGCGACTGGCGCACCACGGGCGAGCTGTCCTCCTGGAAGGTCTTGACTGAGAGCTGGACCTTGCGGGTGACCAGGTCGGGGCTGCTGCCGCTGACGTACTTGTGCCGGTGGCTGGCCAGGTCGGGCGTGCTGGTGGCGGGGCGTGGGCGTGGGTACGGAGGCGGGGGCCTGAAGAGATAGTTCTTGAGCATGTGGGTGGTGTTGTAGCTCTGGCCGCTCTGCAGCTGCATGTTGGCCAGCTCTGGGGTGCTGACTGTGTGGGATATGGCGCTGGCTGCTGTCTTATTCTGGGCAGCATTGTTGGGGTTCATTTGGTCAGACGGGGCCACAGGCTTGTTATAGGCACCCCCCTGCGGCCCGTAGGTGATCGTGTAAGGGTGCCTCTCTCGAATCTCAGGCTGGCTGTAAACTAGGTCCTCTGGCTGGTTGTAAGCATGTGTGTTTCCAATATTGAGATTCCTCAAAGACTGACTTTGGCTGTCCATCTGGATCACCCCTCTCTTCATTTGCCTCATCACTGTTTCATAATCTGGAGTTGGCCTGTAAGATGGGACAATGATTGCACTGTGTCTGTGGCTGGGGATATAGTCTGCTCTCATGATGTCACTCCCCGGGATGCTCAGATTTGAGGACATTGGAGATGCCTGGATGAAGTTCTGTGAGCGATTGAGGGAGTTCATGCTGTGGGCACTGCATACACTCCCATTGGGTCCATTACCATTCAAGTAGCTGAAGTCCATTGGACACCTATCCAAACTGGTCTGAGACCTACAGTAGAAAGTTTCTTCATTTCCATGGAAAATGCTATCTGTGTAGAGCAGAGAGAGAAATGTTGACAATTTTAACCCACAAGGACTTATTCACTGCTAACAAAGCTTCAAATGCAGTCTGCACCAGTGAGTACAGAGATAGCTTAGTGCACAAGTGCAGGGAATGTTTGGTCTTGGGAGCATCCTTGAGCCATCAAAATAGAACTAAAGCAAAGCTACCAACATAAACATTCCCAACACTTAGCAAAACATGGTAGTAGTTCAGATCCTTGTGGGAAACATGAAAGGGGAAAGAGAGGAAGTGTTTTTGCCTGAGGTGGCAAGGAAGAATAAAGGGGCATCTCCTCCCTTAGCATCGTGAAAGGGTTCACTGATGCTGGCACCTTAAAACTCCAGCACTGCAAGCATATGGTTAACCTGAAAAATTCTCTTGTCTCTTCTGTTGATACATGGCTGTCTAAGATTTAGAGTAGCAGAGGACTGTGAAATTGGAAATCCTACTTTAGACCAATCAACAGTTTTGAAGATCTGAAGACACATTTGGGTGATCAAAGCTCAGTGAAAAAAAAAAAAAGGAAAAAAAACCCCAAACAACAAACCACCCTGCAGATGCACTATAGAATGTTAAATGCTTCAGCAAAGCCCTGAGAGGAAATCAAGACAATAAAGATCATATCCTGGATCACAACTTTACTGCAAGTCTGTCCCTGTTGAAAATCTTGTAAGACAAGAGTAGTACTCCCAAACTCTGAAATCAGCGAGTTCTTTGAAAATGTAGAAAAGTCTCTTGTAAAACTAAGATAATTTTACAATTCTTCTAAAATTGAGAATATTCTTCACAGTATCACCTTCACAGTAGAACAGTAGCAGCCACTAATTCAAGTCTACTGTATGCAAGGAACTCTACTAAATGGCTCCTTTCAAAACTTACCAAATTCTGCCTTAAAAATAGTCAGACCCCACAATCCAAAACATTAACAGGTATGATTGAGAGTTCCTCTGCTGCTGAGAGTACTTCAGCTGCACCTCTCATGAATTGCAAAGAACAGCAGCCTAACAGACCTGGCTACGTGTATTCCAAAAGGTGGGGTGGTTAAGGGTGTGAGACTCAAGCTGTTTAGGGGCTGGGCTCCATTCCCAGACTTGATCAAAGTAACCTGGCACAACCTCTTAAAGAATTTATTTGTCAAATATGGGCGTGAAAACAGTTAACCCTCCTTGTGTCTGTAAGGCTAACAATGCAGGCAGATGGTGGTGAAAAATCGGCAGAAAAGGTTGGCCACAGATACAGTTTCATGAACGGGACATTATGATTTCTCCTACAGTAAAAGCTTTTTGCTGTCTCCTTTTCCCTCACTCGGTTTCTCTCCCTGGCCCCAGCTGGCACTGCCTTTGAGTACAGCCATCACACTCCCTTCAGAAATTATTTTTTCAGTTCACTGAACTGGAATACCAAGTTTAAGGTCCATATAATCACACACAGATATTTTAGGGAAATTTGAAAACTGGAGTTGGACTTCAAACAGAAGACTTACTGCAACATTAACTATAAAACTGCTAGTTCTCCTGCAGCAGCAGCTCCCATTTGACCATGATGGCATTATAAATCTGGATATAAGGCTTAGGAGCTTCTTTGCATACACATAAAATTGAAGTACCTTAAAGGGAAAATATATGCTCTAAGTACCTTGTGAATTATGTGTTTCAGTGTAGTGTTCTCCACACTGGACATGCATAGGAGGCAGTATAAAAGGATGTTGTCTTGGCTGAAATAAAAGCACAAGGAAATAAAAAAGCATTAGCCACAATTTTTGCAACTGAAACAGGAAAAATGGTTCTGTGCCCTTTCCACTGAATACTGCTCCTTCTTACCCAGCCAAAAACACATCTTGGCAGCTCCTTATAGAACAGATAATAACTTTTTGTAAATTCCTTGCTAAATTTTGTTACTAATCTAAACTGGCCAGTCCAAAACTGACCAGTTTAGAGTTCTCAACCACTTCAGAAAACAACATCCCTAATTTCAGCTCTTTTAAAATTCTTCACATTTTTATTAAAAGCCTTTGCCCTTGAAGAATTAAACCCAAACAAAACAGACATCTAATCAGGACAAAAGCAGACATGGAACAAATTCAAGGATTTAGGACACTGTTACACACGCAATAAGACCACATATGGATTTAAAATAACTCCGTAAATTACACAAACATTGAATTCCTTAGATAATGAATTCGAGTTTACTCCAATAACCTGCACTGAAAGAATTTTTTAAATGCAAATCCCAGATGGGGCAATTCAGTATTAAATCAGCAGGATCATTTACAGAAAATAAATCAGAGCTGATGCTGTATTCCCCAGCTTTGTCTCTTGGTAAACCAATGTGTTTAGCAATTCTACTTTGCCACCTGCTCTGCAATGTCCTGTCTGGTGTCACAGAGCAAAGTTTATGAAAACATATTTCAATATATGAAGTAAGCAGAAAGACAAGGAAGACACTCCTGTCTCATGAATGTGTCCTCCTTAGCAGCAGAATAAGGGCTTTTCATCCAGGCTGATTCACGTAGTTCAAACTATTAAGGAATACTGTGGATGCCCAAGGCAAAAAACCCCACATAATCTGCCTTTGTGTGCACATGCACCAAATAAGCACCCTGCAAGTTTGCTAGCAAAGAGGGGGTGGGGAAGGGGTAAGATTTACATTTTCCATGTAAATGGTGAGAAGGAATAAGAATCAAAGATACCGAGCTCAGTATGAATTCTTGCATACAAAATAGGTGTGTTAAGCCAGAGCTGGAAAACAGCAAGAAGTATTTTTGCTACAAGAACTGCTTCCAAAGGTATAAAACCCTAGTCTCACTGAACAACCTGGGCCAAGGAGACTGCTGTTGACAATTTTAGTAGAGGAGCTGAGGCTGGAGCTGGTGCTGGAAAGCCTAACAAATGGGGGGCAGAGAAAAAGTGCAAGGAAAGAGAAGTGACTTCTACTAAGAATGCATGCATCTGGAGCAGACAGTTTTCTTTGTGATAGATGTTATGAAAGGTATCTTTCTAAGGCCCATCTGCCTCCTCTGAAAAAAGAGAACCCTGGGGTCTGCAGAACAACAATTAATGATGACTTATTTTTTTTAAAAATCAGGTAATTAAACATACCATTATATTAAGATCTCCTACACTGAGGGGTTTTTTTTTTTTTTGGAAAACCAACATTGCTGGGTGGTCTGACAGGAAAAAGAGACAGCAGAAACCATGCCAAAACCATATAAAGGGTCTTGATCTGAAAGCAAAGAACATGATGCCTAGTGAAGTGGCAGAGCCTCACCCAAAAGATTCCACTTCACTTCCCATTTCTGCCTACTGATTTATTGCTACACAAGACAAATGAATAGGTAGGTGTATGAAGGTATGTGCAGTTCAGAAAACAGTCAGGAGGGCTTTTTTTTTCCTCCCAAAGAGAATTGTTCCAACAAGTTAGCAGAACAATTATGAAAAAGGCAGCTGAAAGTTCACCGTGAGCAGTCAGCAGCCTAGTGCACTTTTTTCAATTGATGAGCCCACATTCTTCCTCTTGATCTTCCTGAGATTCTGGGGATTTAAAGCTTGTTGCATGCTTATGCTTAAAACAAAGTGTCAGCACGATTTGTTTTTTCTTTTGAAAGAGCAGATTTCCATTTTTCACATATAATTTAGATAGCAGCTCACTTTCCCCCCTCATGATATTACAGAGGCTGTAGCATAAAAATGCAAAGCACCATTCATTTTTTTCACCGTCAGTTTTTCATAGTTATTTCCACGGTTCTAACTCATAGATACCAAAAATATTGTAAATATGCTACAGAGAATGCAATACACAGCCTGTGTATTGCATCATGACACCTTAACAAAGGAAAGACAAAGAAACCTGGAGGCAGCTACAGCAGCTTTCCTGCCAGTGCCTGGGACACAGAGAGTGCAACTTTAGATCTAATGGATTCTATACATTCACACAGGAAAATAACCTGTGTTGAAATCTGCAAGGATAAAGCTATCTTAAAATCAGTACCTGCTTAAGCCTAATTTTGGAACATTTCACAAACTGTAACCACACTGTGGGGAAATGTCAAGAAAACACTTGCCCACATCACCTTTCTGCCAGGCAGCAATAGGGTAATGGACTTTTCACTCTGGAAAGGTCTACAAAGTAGGTACAACTTATACCACACATGAAAACTGGCAACCTGCATAGAGATAATATTGCCCTCTGTCCAAGGAACCAGCAGTGCTACTGTTACAGAAATTCAGAATCGGTTAAATAAGATGAAAAAATACTGACATACTAGACATTAAAATTTAATCCAAAAAGAGTTTCTTTAGAATGGACAGGAGGAAAAAAAAAAAGACTAACATATGATTTTTTTTTTGGTAAATATTTCAGGAAAAAACACCCAGTTTTGTCAGATTGATAGTGCTTCTGGGGATTAGTTAAATAGAAATAAAAACAATTTAAGAAAAACTCTGAATCACAATCTTGACTGATTCTAATAGTTTAACTTAAATTAACAGTAATTTTACACATAAAATAGGGTCCTAACCCAAGAAGCTGCTAAATTGTAAGTAGTCTTTATATAAAAACATGAGGATTGAAGAACTGTGAAATGTAACATTTTGTAATGACTAGATTTGATGCACAGAGAACAAGACACTTCCAACTCTTTCTAGAGGACTATTTTCTCTACATATTGAAATAACCTCAATGCAGCAGAAAAGATGCTCAGTTTCTGCATGGCAAATAAAAATAGAATGCCTTGAAGACTGTAATTTTTACTACTCAATGGTGATATTATCCAGTTAATCAATCTGGGCAGTCACACCCTTGAAACTCATTCCAATCATATTGCCAACAAGAAATGAGTTAATGGGCTTAGTTGAAATTTAGAAAGTCGTTCATCTTACACAATGCCTCATCCCATCAGAAATGGTATAGATATTCTTAAAGACCTCAGAGTGGCACGTACCAAAGATGACCTACTCCAGGTTGGCCGTCGTCGGATAGGGGGAGGAGAATTTGATTGTCTGTGGAGGAAAAAGAGAAATGATAGAAACCACAATATCTCAATTCTGAGTCAAGAATGAATGGGAAAAACAAGATGTGAAGAATCTGTTCATATTGCTCATTACTGAGATTTTCAGATATATGGATAAATGAAAATAATTCAGGTTCTCTTTTAAATACAGGAAATGTTCCCATTCCAAACTATACATGCCTTTTGATCATTATCCTGTTTGGCTCACATGGAAACACAAGAAAGAAAAATTCTGGTTTAAAATGAATTCAACATGTCTCTTAAGTAAAAAACTGAACATGGCAGACAGGTACAATCTCAGGTGACTTAATGTGAACATTAACACAAGGACAATGTTATGAAATTGACAGCAATCACTCCAAAGCAATGCAACAGATCAGGAAGAAAAGGAAAAAAAAAACCATCTGGTTAGACAATACTAGCAGAGCCACATACAATGTTAGAGTAGCCAGGTGCAGTGGAAGGAGCAAGGAGTGTAGGAGATAAAAAAAAATACGAGAAAGGGAAAGAAACAAGTTGAAAGGAGGTAGAAATATAGTGCTTACGTGAAGAGAGGAAAGGTGGAATTTGTCCTCTTACAGTTTCTGATCTGGTGAATGATGTTATGTGCAATTAGAGGAAAGGCACACAGGAAAACAAACAACTATCATTTTAACACAGAGGGCAGGAAAATTATTTGGCTAGAAAACATACACTGGCATATGCTGTCATCAATATCTGAAGCTCTAGCACACAAGCTTATACCACATGAGACCATGGTCAGGAGAGCAGTTCTAATGACCAAAATACATTGAAACTTGTTATTTCCCTCTTTGACTTTGTGACATCCCCTACCTTTATTAGTCCAAATATCTGCAAGTGGCCTGTGAATTTGCTACATACAACACTTTCATAGGACCCACATACTTATGGTTCAGTGTTTAGTAAGAAACATGATCAGAAGCTATGGCTTCTGCAGTCTGGATTGTGACTGGCAACAGAAAGTTCTCTCTGTTGACCCCAACACAGCTTCAAAGGGGAAATATCCCAAGGTGGCACACTATGGTATTTTGTTTTCTTTCTTGACTGTCACAGGGAAAACAATCAGGAGCTCCCTTTGAATTCAATCCCTCTGGAACCATTAAAATTGAAATTAGTATTGGACTACTGAAATCCATTATATGCTGCTAAGAAATGTCTTTTCCAGTCTTTCACTCACTTCCCAGGAACTGTAAGCAACATGTAAAATCTAACCAACATCTCTTTTCTGTAAGTGAAAAGATCACTTGAAGCAGTTCACCTCTCTGGACTCTCCTATGCTCTAACTCACCATATGTCAATATAATGTGGGCACACATGAAAGACCTTCTAATCTTCCCCTCACCATTTTGGCTTTATTTTCCAACAGATGGCATTACCCAGCTGAACAGATGGGATGTCCAGCTCTAACTAGAGTTGTTGATAGAGATGAGACTTCTTCATGGTAAGTTTTGCAAGAATTTAATGTTCTCTGTTATACATGCCCAGCACACCACGAAAATTTCTCAAAACTCTAACCTTTTGAAAGCCAAATTTATCTCAATCTGAAAATGTGTGCTGGTACAAATGAAACATCTCAGCTAAGAAACAGACTTTTGAATTAAAGCTAAAGCCTAATGAATTCCTCCTTCAGTGAGAAGGAATCCACCTATGTGAGAGGACTAGCTCAAGGCCAGTTTCTAAGAAAGTGCTCAAACCAGAGCCTAAAGGAGACTTCAGGTTTAGATTTACAATCTCTGCTGTGTTGTGGCAGCACAGCGACGCAGATTAACACACCCAGGTGTCCTTCCTTGTTCAGCATGCATAAGAGGCAGATAAATCATCCTGCCCAAACTAGAAGATGACAGCCTCCACTCTCCAGCACCTTTATCTGCTGGATGGGCAGTGCATCTGCTGCTACAGCTCACATTTTGACATGCTGACCAATGTCACCTTTCACTCCAGTTTAGGCTAATACTCTAGGCTATCAAGAGCAGACACCAAGACCTCCAATTCAAGACTCCCTATAGGATTTGGCTGTGCGAGGAGCACCAAAGCTCACAAGGCTCCCAACCATCTGTCCTTGCTGTTGGTTAAAACAAAACCAGAAAAAAAGGGAAAGGGGAGAAGAATAACTGACATACGTGACTAGGAAAAAAACCCAAAAAAATCCAAAACCAAAAACAAACATCACCTCCCCAACCCCAAAAAAAAAGAAAAGAAAAAAATCCCCAAAACCAAACAAAACCAGTCATGCCAAAATTCAGATCAATTCCAAAGCAAGGTGCCAGAAAGCAACTGTGAAGCAAGAGTACTCACTCTGTGCAGATTTTGTTCTGTTTGTAGAACTTGTGTCTTGATGCAAAGAGACGTGAAATATATTTAGCATTTTCAAGATCATCCTTTAAAAATGAGAAAAAATAGGAAAAAAATATTTTGTTATTTTTACCAAGAAGTGACAAAAGCTTTTTAAAAATCCAGTTGCAGGAATGCTGGGTAAGGTCTCCCGTGGCCTATTCCATGGTCTACCATGGAATTGGCTCCCAAGAACACATCTAGTGGTCTCAAGAGCACTGATGGCATAGGATTACTGAAACCCAGTGGTGTGCATTTACACACTGCCCCTTCACTGCTAAGGCACAGTATGGGGGGACTGCAGCAATAAAATGGCTCAAGCTTGCTGGTCCAGTTTCTGTACTGGCCTTGGTTCAGGGAGATGTGGAGTGATTTTACACAGCACAGAACAGCCTCGTGGCCCTCTGAGTTCCAGTATGTACACATATGGTAGCTCATTCCCAGTTTCTACTTATGCTGCTGTATTTATGCCATTCTAAAGGCACTTCAGTTTTTTTGCAGACTTCCCAGCACAGGACATTTCAGGATGCTTGGAAGAAAACACAGAAATTAGTAGCTAAATGAAGTTAATTTCTCTTTCTGCATAAAGTACAACAGGAATGTGAGGGGGGTGGTGTTATGCAAGTGAGCCTCTCTGGGAAAAAAGAATTTTAAAGGTTTATTTTTACATAAGTAGCTTTCATGATGACACTGATCAGATCTTTTTCTTACTGTGTGAAAGAGTACATTCTCTTCTTTGTTGATCAACTCTAGAACAATTGAAGACTTGTTATGAGCAATATTCCCAATGTCATTCCACCTGCAGAGTAAAAAAATGCATTGGAGTTTGCCAACACATACATTCAAACATTTCACAAACACAGTAAGAATCCTTTAGTCAACATCAGTCTCATTTTATGGGAAAGGTTTTCAGTAACTTTTTGGTGAAGAAACCTGGTCAGGAAAACAAGGAAATCAGGTTCTTATTAAACAGCTCTTAACCCAAAGCAGGAGAGTTAAAAGCTGTCTTTAAAAATACGAATTTGAAGACCCACAATAGAAGACACATTGAAAACACAGTAATGATAACCATTTTACTGAACTGTGGCATTTTGGAACTGATTGATTTTGGTGACATGTAACAGAATTATTTTGTTTTAAGTATCATTCCTCCCCAAATGCCGTTTCCACCTTTCATTCAGCGCTAATTCTTGCTAAAGAAGGTTAAGTTGACAACATGGTTATGTAGGCTATGCATACCATGTTAATACTCTGGCCTTATGTTTGCAATCTTTTTATTTTTTTTTTCCCAAGTTATTGTGAGGTTGCCCAAGATCTGAGTTATAATCTTCTTACAAATAGCTGACAGACATTTGCGTACATTGCATGCAATCCACGGGTATGGAAGGGACTTGTTTGTTCTGTTTGCAGCATGCATTCCTCTTCATGTCATGGCAGGATGCTTGCAGTACATATTTCCAGAGAGTTAGAATCCCAGCACTAACTCTCATTTCTACATGTAAAGAAACTTCTTGCTTTTGTCACCTGGCCCAATTAAAGGATTATCTAATTCCTTCTCAAAATTACATATGCAAAACCAGAGCTACAGGGAAAAGGGAACACTAACATTTTTTAAGCTGACTAATGAAAGCTCTTTTAAGGCAACCCTCCCCCCAGAATTCCAGCTGAAGTCTGATATAAGCCTTAGCTACTGACTGAAAATCAGAGCACCTCAAAACCCACAACTTTAAGGCTGCACAAAATTCCTACTCTAATCACAGGGATTAGTAAAAATCCACTTCAAGTAAACAGCAACAGTAATAAAAATACCCACTAGAAGAGAAGCAAAGAGCGAAACTATCCTCCCTGAAACCATGGAGATTTCTAGCAACATTTTCATACAGAACAAACCCACAAAAGAAAGTTAATGGATAAGTAATTCTTATTAACCAAAATAAACTGCATAAGAAACAATAGAGTGACACAGCCCTGACTCTCAAAATCACAGAATAAGAAAGTTGAACATTTTTTTAGTGGGGCACCTAAATGTGGCAACCACATTTTCAGAAGTGTTGAGCTCCCAGGCTGCCAGCTGTGAGGTTTAACAGATTTGTATTCAGAAGCATCAAAGAAGAAGACAAAGACAAGAGAAGAAAAGGGATCAAAGCCTTGTAAACTAGAACAAGATACATGACAGGTTACTACAACTTTCTCGCCATCCAACCCATTCACAGACATCAAAAATTATTCTTTATCTCTCTTTGGGCCACAAGACCAATCCTGAAAACAGCAAGGTTACTACTCCTTAGTTAGAGGATTGGCACTATTACAGTCACATATGCAAGTAAGGAAAAAAATCCCACACATACAGCTCTGGATAATAATATAAAAGACCCTCATTTTTACCTATAGATCACAGTTGTCCTTCCAATTCTGTTTTTTATGAAGATGCCCATGAAGAAAATACCAAGGTGTATGTCATTTCCATGGTTATCCTGCAGAGAAAGGATAATAAATTTAATTTAATAAATACTCTGGTCAATAGCTTTACAGGAATGCATGCTGAAGTACCAAAGAAAAGCCCTTCATTGTGGATGCAGGACCAACCTATATTTTGCAGCTTGACTGGACTCTGATTTTCATTATTTAAGAGCAGTTAGCACTTAAGTGGATTCATTGTGCTGATTAGTGAGAACAGAAGAAGGATAAATGACCTCCAAGTTCTCCTCTCCAAACACCATGCAGACCACAAACTGGCATTCACTGTATAATATCCCACCTGTCTTTGTGATTGCAACTATCTAGAGCCTGTAGGAATACCAAAAGCAGTAGCTCTCTTTCACAGTCATGGTGTTTCTCCAGACATCTGTTAAAACATGTACAGATTTCAGAACACCACACCTGGAGATGGAATCCCTCTCAAAAGCTCTACCCTTCACACTTCCTCCTTTAAGTTGTCCATGTAGAAATTCACAGCATGTCACCCCAAAAAGTACTTTCATCTCTATGCAGCTATATCTTCTATTGATTTTTAGTAGTTGGGTTAAATATTCAACTGCACACACCACATAAAAACAATGCAAAACCAGCGGACTCTAAGAAGTCCTATTACTTTTGCACCTACCCATGTCTCCTTGCAGGCTCCTGTTTGAAAAACCACGTGCTCCTGATCCATTTTGCAATCTGTTTTCTTAAAAAACCTTTTCCTATTTTTTTTTTGCTACAAAAGCTTAATACTGTTGACAAAGAGGTTTTTCTACATTTATCAACAAGCAAGAACAGTTCCCCCTCAGCTGCATATATAGTAATTGAGTCACACTTTAAAGTGGTAAACAGAAATCACTCTAACACCACAAGTGTGGTTAGAAAGCATGGCTAGAAGAAAGGATATGCCTGCACACACTGTACGAACCATCAGGTGCCCCTGCATTTTAATAGACTAGGTTAGAGCTGTTCTCCTGGCCTTGCTGTGCTTGAACCTCAGAAGGCAACGATGGAGTTTCTGCACTTGTTTAACTACTGAGTGCTAGGCCTTTTGCAAAAAAAATCACAGTTGTCCTTCCAATTCTGTTTTTTATGAAGATGCCCATGAAGAAAATACCAAGGTGTATGTCATTTCCATGGTTATCCTGGCTGGATATTCATCCACAAGCTGAGAGACAGCAGTGTAGTCTGATTAGAGGATAACACATTCTTCTGCCTTGTGTCACAGGGAGTTTTACAAGGCAAAAAGATTGGGAATGCATGGCCGAAAATGTATGCATTTGTACACATACAAGTACATGTATCTACGTGTGTGCGTGTATACACACAAATACCCACATGGAAAGAAAAACACGTAATTCTAACAACATTTTCTACCTGGGAAAAAAGAGAAACCTTTTGTTTTCCCCTTTGAATGCAGTTCTGTTTGTGTCCATGGCCAGCATGCTGCTCCTTGATGCAAGGCTAACACCTTCCTGCCATTTTGCAGAGCACCCAGTCCATTGTTCATACTTACCTTACAGACACATGCAATAATATCTAATGACACTTCCAACACAGAAATCTGTTGCAGTAGTGTGCAGCATTATTCCAAATGAATTTGAGGAGAGCTTTCATTTAGTTCATTGACAATGAACATTCCAAAATTTTTTGGTAGGTTGAAAGTTTTTTGCCATTCAGCTCCTCCCCTCCAGGCCAATTCTAAGATTGGTGCCAAAGGATCAATTTTGACTTCAAAACAAGCAGGGAGCTTGTTTTGTTTAGTGTGCATTTGGGTTTGTTTTTAAATTCCAAGTTATCTTTAAATAGCAGGAAAACCACTCACAATCCACCACTTATGGTGTCTGAGTAGGTTAGCAAAAAGAAATGGGTCATGTTGGGAACAGTGGTTTTCAGTTTCTCAGCACAACCTTATCATGGCAGCATGTGCTCCATAAGGCCACACATCCAGACAATCCATGGCAGGATGGGACTTCCAGTGAAGGGAAAGTGACTGCAAATGCAAAATAATCCCTGAAATTCCCACTTATTAAAAATGCATGGAGGACCTGCATGCACACATTGGAAATTAAGGAAAAGTGAAGTTAATGGTTGGTAAGTAGCAACTTAGAAAGACAAGGTCTCCTTTTCCTATCCTGTTAAAGATGACCAGAACTGAGATTCATTTGCCCTGGCCACTCTCCCATTGACAGCAGATGAAAGAAAAGCAAGGAGCATCTCTTATTCCCAAGAGAGCACACCCTAGAACATAGCAACCTCTTCTGTAACAAGGATTTTCATGGAAGAGAAGCAGCACTGTAGGCCTAAGTAACCCTCATGTTGCAATGTCCGTTCAAACTACCAGCAGTCATTTCACCCTCTGAAGCAGTTAAACAAGTCCTGTCTCTTTCGGACAAACATGACTTGGATGCAGACCAAAGGTTGCTGCAGAGTTCTGCATCGTTTGATTCAGAGGTTCCTTTATAATATACACTGACATACCTTCACAGGGAAAATTTCCTGTCCAAACCCATCCAGACGTTCCACTTCATTGATGTACATTAGCTCAGCCTCTGCTGCTGTAATGCCACTGCAATTACATTAACAAAAGGCAGTGAATAGCTCAGTATTACACACACACATACACAAATACTAGCAAAAAAAAAAGTGAGTTTCACAAACCACTTGAGAAGACACTTTGGAAATGCTGCCTAGAAATGCACAACACAACGATAGCTTTCAACATTAGGATCCTTTTCAGCAAGGGGGCAAATTTTACTAAATGTCACTAAGCTAAGGTACAAAGCACACTTCAAATGACAGGAGGAACAAACAGAACTGATCACATTACTCAGCTTCTTCCACACATAAAATTTCTCCAGGCTTTATTAAACCACCAGGTTGTGGATAGTTTTGGATGGACAACTTGAACCATAGGGGTGCTAATCTGTCTGAATATTATACAAGGCCACTGAAGCTTCCTAAAATGACTTAAAAGGAAAGACCTACATTTTCAAGTTGGCTGTTCAAAAACACAGGCACTAAATCCAAAAGTTGAACAGATTCTCTTTCATAAGAGAGAACAAACCAGCTGAAAACTTTTACACACGTGTCTACACACTCTCCTGTCACAGCTCAGGAATTCAAACAGATTTCAATTCTCAAAAGCAGGTCAGAATAGATTACAGGTTGGTCCAAAAAAAGCCACTAATAATTTTTCTCCTCTGTACTCCTCCTTACCACAGCTTACAAGCAGAAATATCGGAACCAAATACCTGGGAGAAGGGAGGTGGAATATGATCTACCTGCTGAAGTGATAGGAAGTATTTGCTCTTTGTGTTGCAGAAATAGCACTATAGAGCACAGCAGGTGGGAAATCTTTCCTTTCAAGTCTGTGAGTTAACCAAGATCACACAAGCAGCCTATGGCAGGGAGAGAACAGAACCAGGCCTGTTCATGGCCAGCTTGGAAGCTATTCCTTTGGTTGCATCAAAGGCCCAGGCTTGCATTGAAACTCAAAACTGAGAACGGCCTTAGACTCAGAGATTGGTATTTGTCCTTTTACAACCACTTTCTCTCATGTAATGGGGAATGCAGCATCCTTCACATAATATTCCTATTGCATATGACATGTGGGCACTGCCATTTTTTCCCATAACAGCACTCTAGAGGTTTGAACACTTCCACCACTGAACACCTGGACAACATGAAAGACACTTGCTCACAAAGAGGGTTTTTTTAGTGAAGCACTAATGCACACACTCCTGGCTCATTAACTAGTAACACTATATTGTGTCTTCTCCTTGAGACTTCAAACCCAATTCCTGTTATTTTCATTTCCATTAAACCAAGAGCATTTGTATCCCCCTCCTCTTGAAAGAGGCTCTCGGATCACCACTGATCAAGTCACAGGGTCTTTCACATCAGGATTTAAATGAAATCAGAAAGAGAGAGGACTCAACTGCATAGCACCAGTAGGGTTACACATGCTCATTAAACTCAAGGGTGTAAATGCTCGTTTATTTGGGATTAAGCTCCTCAGCCATTTTGTGTTTACAAGAGGCAGATAATCTTCTGTGATAGACTAATTAAAAATCCAGTGACACAAAGCATAATAGCAACATGAAGATGAGCTAGTTAAACACTGCCAGGAATGTATGGGGAGGCAGGGAAGTACTAGAATGATGATAAAAAAATTTTTAAAAAATAGCACAAACTTTATCATGTCAAGCTCACCTGTGAGTTCGGTGCTCCTGAGCAACCTTCTGAGTCAGGTCCTCCAGGACAGCTTCATCCTGGGTCCAATCCTGTAAGAACATGAAGCAGCATCAAAAACTAGTCAGCCAAAGAGAGAGAGCATAATATGGCAGACAGAAATTATGACAGCAGACAGTTCAAGACTTGTAGTAACAGAGAGAGGACCTATCACTGACCGCATTGAAAATTCAAAACATGGGATGCTGAAAATATGTGAGAAGAACACAAAACTCTGATTTTTTTTTTTTTACCTTCTTTTGAGAGGGTAAAGAGATACTGTTAAAAATGGGGGGAGGTCTTTATTATTTCAAAACAGAGAACAGAATACAGAGTGCAGACCTCTTCCTGGATAAGTACTGAACAAATCCTTAAAAAATTTGCAAATTTACAAAATAATATATATCTTTTAAAAACAATATAATACACAGACCATGGAAAAATGGAAAATGAATTCATGAGTATTTTTTGAAAATAAAAAAAAAAAAAATGGAAAATTGAGTATTTTTTGTCCTGCAACATACAGGTACTCCCTTCCTCACGTTAAAGGGATTGAGTTTTGCTACTTCTTCCAAGATGCATTAAAACCTACTTTATGCTTGCAACACATTCTGAGCAGAAATTTTTATACTCTCCAAATTTAATAACATGCGGTAGAAACAATTCTGAAATAATTGGGAGCAAGTTAATAAAGGAAGTCTACTCATAAATTCAAGGCCAAAAAAAAGGAAGCTGAAAAACTTTCTTGCAAAACCTCAAAGTTCTTACTTTTATTGAAGAAAGCCTTAAGGCTGCATGTAATGTACTTAAATACACTGCTTCTTGCTCAATGGGGCCCTCCCCTCTGATATTTGCTTCTGCCACAAAAAAATGTGAAAGTGGTAGTGTGCTAATGAAAAATGGCATGGTACATGCCTATGCACAGCCACACACCTGTGGGGTGTACTGTGTACATAACTTTGTTCTTTTCACTGCTGAAGAAATGCCATTTGACACATATTGTAGCCTCACAAGATCAAACAGCACAAACGCAGCTGCCCCTCCCTCATCCACAAGCTCACTTCACTAATGAATTTATAGCCATGTTCTCAGCGGAGGCTTTTTCTATGCCCCAAATTCACTCAAATCCCCCAGCTTGCTTAGGGACTCGTTTGTATCTGCAGCACTTAGCCACTGTTACTGAACTTGCAGTGAAAGATTTACTTTTAGGTTATCCATCCTCCCCAGGAGAGCAAAGAAAAGTAGTTAAAGAAATGTCTAGAGAAACAGTTGATTTAAGAGTAGACTTCTGAAGGTGTAGGAAGCAGACACTCTGCTGATCTTCTTAAATTTAGCAATAGTTGCATGGATGAAAGGCAAAATACCACAAAGCAATGGCAAGCATATACAAAGCAGGAGAGCTGACCACACCACTATGGAGGCAGCTGACACAAAAATAGAGGGTCTGAGATGGGCTCAAAGAGTAAATTGCTGAACCACAGAGAAATTAACCACCTGAAAGCTTATCTACAGACCTAAAACCTCCCCTAATTTTTTTCTGAACAGAAAAATAGTACCAGTATATCCCTGGCAGTGCTCAAGACCAGGCTGGATGGGGCATTGAGCTGCCTGGTCTAGTGGGAGGTATCCCTCCTCACAGCAGAGGGCTTGAAACTCTTTGATCCTTAGGGTCCCTTCCAACCCAAACCACTCCATGATTCATTTTATATTGAAAGAACTTGGCAAAAGTTCATTTACAAAATTACTCCCTGAGGAGTAATTTGAAAAGCAACACTTTTCTCCATATATAATTTCAGCCATCCTCTTTGCCATTTACGCTATCATACATGACTTCATAAGCCATCAACTGTACACAAGATCATCAATTACTTATCAATAGATAAGATGGCTAACCAAAGAAATTCTGCTCCATAGAGAAGATAACAGAAGTTTATTAGTGAAAGGTTAATACTGAAGCCACATTTTACATGTATATTCTACATAAAGCATATTCAGATCTCTGTGCATTCCCATCTTCCTTCTGCTTTTTTCAGATTGTATTGAACTATCTAGTGGCTCAAATTCGCACTTTCACTTCAAGACAGCAGGCAGATGTCACCTTTTTGGACTTAAGATGAACTGTCCACTGCAGTTCCTGTGCAAAGAGCATGGGTAAGTAGGATGAAATGCTTCTCAAGCCTTCAAATTACAGTGAGATGAATCATTCTCCCTCTACTGCTCCACTAATTGCAGAGGGAAACCAGATGCCTTAACTTCCAGGCAGCTACATTCAGGGCATGGGAACCCCACCCTGCTTCCAGATATTTTTTCCAGTTGGAAAGAATTCCATAATCTTTTATATTTATGAAGATTACACTAAATACTCACACAGATGGACTTGTTCATCTAAGACAAAGCCAGCCTTAGCTTCAACAGGCATTTGTTTTGGTTTATTTCTTCTCTAATTCATCCTCCCAGAGAATCTCAATGTCACAGACTGCAAGTGCTTGGCATTTGTCACCAAATTTCCAACACCATTAGTGATCTAAGCTCCTTCCCTAAACATTCAAGTTATTTGCTAGTTTCCAAATGCAAACTGAATTTACAGCGAATGTCCCTGGAGAACATTTTGAGAAGACCTGATTCAGGCTTCACTTGAGTGCAACAGTCAGCTGATGTAAATCCACACTCTCTTCAGGAGTGGCTGCATGGCTTGTCTTGTGACACAACATTTACTACAGCAGCAGCCCTTACATCCCCTTGATGTGCCATGTTGCTAATATCACAGTACTGCTATTATACACCTTCTAAAACAGCTGCAAATCCTTTTTTTATTCAAAGATGCCCGTTTCTTTTGTGGGCACCAGTTCCTAGTGAAGGCTCAACAGCAAGTGAAAATGGGCTGACATTCCACAGCATAGAATAATTCAACCGCAATCAAGTTTCGGGGAGAAAATTTTGCTTTCACTAGTCCAGTGCTGGTGCTTTTACTCTGTTATCAACAAAGCCATCTCTGAGTCATGGAGAAATTATTCAAAAGACCACAAAAGAGAGGGATAAGGAACTCACCATAGGAAACAAAACATATTCTCGGAGGAAGTCATGAGATTCAAACTGATTATAGTCTCCAAAATCCGCTGGAAAAAAAAAAATCAACACAATTACTCATTTTGGCACTTTCCACACATGTCAAGACCATACTCAACCTTTGCACAGATGCTTAGTTTCAAGTGGGCAAGTTCTCTCTGAAGCCACAGCCCAGCACAAAGACTTTTGCTTGTACTTTAGCTTTTAACATGGAGGTCTGAAAATAACAGTGTTACAGTGTTATTACCAGAGATCAAGTGACAGCCAACAAGTAATTTCTTTCTTTGATCCCTAATATAATGACTATTTGCAATGCTTAACCATCAGGAGTGCAAGAGCTTGTTTTTCTGTAGCCTTCTTAAAATCATACCCCCATTAAAAAAACGCTGGGATTGCTCAGCCTCCTTAAAAATTGTGCACACTTTTGCTTCTCCACCATTTCCAATCCTGACCAGACAAAAAATAGAAAATTTAACCTAACTCTGCTACAATTCTATACAGTTGAACAAAACATTAATTTACAACCTATAAAGGTTAAAAACCTATAAAGCTTTAGGTTTAACCTAAAAAGGTTAAAGGTCAGTTTTGTTAAAAATTGTCAATAGCCAGCATAGGGGAAGGTTTATCCTTCTGCAGCCAACCTAGCAGTGCAGACACTGTGTTGGTTTAACTGACTGGCCCACATCTTTCTACTCACTTCTCTGCTTCTACATCTCTCCAAAAGATACTCATCTCCATGCTCACATTCCCTCATCTGTCAGGCTGAGGATTCTTGCCCAAATGTCCTTGAGACCGTGGAGTTTTGGAAATGCTTACTAAAGGCTAAACTACATTTTAAAACCCCAAACAATGCCTATATTTATCTATCTGTTAAATATACAACAGCTTATATCAAAAGAGTATCTTGCCAGGAGGTTTTTATTTTATATTAATTGAACAGGATCAAACGCCATCTACAAGATACTCATATTATAGGAGTTGGAAATCCCCACCATAAATCATTTTATCTAAACATTCTTTCAAAGCTACTAGACAATTTCACATATTGCAGGATGCCAAAAATGCAGTTTCATTTTGTTTCTACCTCAGAGTTATGTTTTAACATAAACAGAAAGAAATCAAAATGGGCATGAAACAGAGTCTGCAAGTTTAAAAGAAATAAGTATTTCAAATACCTTTGGTTGCATCACATGCAAAGGACAAAGGAAGTAATACAAGGTCAGGAACAGTAGGATTGACTCAATCTCAAAATTGGGAAAAAGCTCCAAAAACATATTCAGTATCTATTCAGACCTTACTTACACACTGGAAAATCTTCATTTACCTAAATTAAAAGATTTATTATGGAATCTTATACACATATTTCCCTTTATTAGACAAACATTTCAAGATTTGACAAGAAATATTTTCCCTTCAATTTTAGCAAAGATTTAAGATACAAACACAGCATTTCTACTGCTCTAAAAAAAGACCATAAAAGCATTTCTCTCCATTGAACCTTTAATTGTCAAGAATCAGATCCTTGTGTTTGCTATTATGTATATACTTCCCCCTTCCCACTCATCAGAGAGCATGTAGAGAACATCACTGCTGAAACTCTGCCTCAAGTTCTCATAGTCAGCTGTGGATAGACTGGAACATACTTTATCCAAATACAGGGCTTCTTCCTCTGCACATACACATTTTATGATCCTACTTTTATTGATGTCCTTAGGAGTCTCAGAATAAAAATCATATTGTAAGAAGTAGTTTATTATTAACTTATAACTCACATAACAATTATGGTCATGTGTTCTTTCATACTTCATATAGCACTATACAGCAAAATGAGATTTTAATTAAAGGCAAAATTAAAGCTGCTGCCATGTTTTTTGATGTAATTTGCATTTGAAACCAGAGAACGTGAAGCAAATTCATTACTGCAAAGTACTCCGTGGTCAGGGCTGGAAGAACTGGTGTTCTGTTGAGATCTGCTTGCATGAATTTTAGAAATAGGAAAGTTGAGCACTGTGATGTCGTCCCTCATTCCCACCCTGAGGCTGTGAGTGTTTCATCCACAGCAGTCCACCCATGCACTTTGGAAACAATTGGAAACCCAGCTGCTGTGAGCAGGAGTCATGCAGGGCCTCAGTGCCCAGTCAAGATGAAGGACAAACCACAAGAGCCATTCCTGGACAGAGGCTATGGGGTCACATCATCCTACCTTGCACTGCCAGACCAGCCAGTCGAATCCCCTGCTCAAATGAGGATATCAATCGCCCATCAAGAACATCCTTTTTCACCTGTAGGTAATACTGATATCTACAAAAAAAAAAAAAAAAAAAAAAAAAAAGGAGCACATATGAGCACAAATTATAGTATCTATATGCTTGCACATTTCTTACAGGGAAAAAAAAGACTGTGGAAAGGAAGGAAAAAATCACCCCAAACAGGTCGGGCTGTTGAACAGCAGGCCTGTACCCAGCTTCAGAAGCTCCTCATTACCATAACAAACCAATATGATCCCTACCTGTGCAATGCTTCCAGATGGATGAAAGGGAAAATAAAAGGCTCTAGTTTGGGTTCCCCAGATCACATAGAAGAGGGACATCTGTGAAGATTACCTCTTTTGTAAATTTTATAGAGACCATGCAATCTCCAATGCAAAAAGGGGCTTTTCCATGTTTCTTCTCTTGTTTTTGATCCATTGTCACCATTTTGATTTAAGAAATAGAATTTTAGCTATACACTTTGTCTGTTGATTTACCTTAAACTATGGCCCATAAAAGAGGTTTTCTAATTGGCATTATTCATATGTAAGGATGACTAAGACACACAAACCAAGCAAACACAGCTTCTAGCACAGTCCATGTGTGCACTCAGCCTCATGCTTCCAACCCCTGGGTACACCTGGGTCATCCAAATCAAGAACCTCAAAACCCAACAAATGGGCTTTTCAGGCTGTGAGCAGCACAGAGGTTACTGCACCCTAGAGCTGAATGCCTGCTCTCCCTCTGAAACTGAAAGTGGAGGCCATCCACTTAAAATGCCATGGATTTAAGAAATAATTGCTTGAGATAAACTGGGATAGAAAGAATTGGTACACAAGCACACAGCCAGTCCCAGAGACTGCAAGCTCTGCAAGGCATACAGTGAAGAGCAGTCAAAGTCTGTGGGCAGCAAACTCCTAACTGTGCTCAGCTACAACCACATCCGACCTTCCCTCCGAACCTCTCCCCAGAGAAGCTGTTCTGGCCTTGCTTTAGAGTGTAAGTGACCTTCCCACCCCCAACAGAAGGGAGAACCACTGCAACATCACCCACAGAACATGAACTGTGCTGCCTTTAACTATGCTTGCAAGTGTTACTGTTTGTGTTGAGGTATAAGAAAAATATAATCTCATTTAAAATGCTCAAATTTGGCTTTCACACAGCCCAATAAAGATTAAAACTGATGGGGATTTTGAAATTTGATTGAGAGAGGCAGGCTGAAAAGCATGCAGCTTCTCAGCCTAGGCCCTGTGCCTCAGCCCCAGGTTTCACACTTGCTCGGTCCAAGAGCTTCTTTCCACTCCTTTGCAGTGACCAGATCCTAACTCTGAAAACATGCATGCTTTCATAGAAGCTTGACATAAGCTGCTTTATCAACTATGCAGGTGAGCAAATGTTGGATGAATTTGGTCCTTAACACTTGTAATCCCAAAAGCAGCTATTTGGGTCCATGCTACAAATACACACACAAATATACACACGAGTTATGTATTCTAGTCTAACAAGGAGAGTAAAATCTGGATCTGCCATAAAATAAGGCTATTGTTAAAACAGAGTGGTAAGAGGCTACATGAGACTCAAACCAATGTCAAATCTTATAGTGACATCCCAGCAGTACAGAAGTCAAGAATGTCACCAGCTGTAGAGGAACCATGATTTCAACCACAGTGTCCACACAACTACAGACAAATCACAGGAAAGATTACTTAGGTAAGCATCAACAAAATACAGTGCCAATGCAGTTACTGTAGTATCAAATATTATGACTTAGGTTTTCAAAGAAACATTGTTGTGGGGTTTGAATTGCCATTTGACTTGCCATAGGAATGTGATGAAAGCAAGGAGGAAACATTGCTTAGTGTCTGCCTTGGACAATGTGGAATTCTCAAGAGCTGTCTTCACAAATTTCCCCCAACGCTGATGTTAGAAATGTTAGGGCAAATAAAGAGCACACACACTGCTACACATACACACTCACACTCTGAGTTTCACAGTCACTCACACAGTTAGACATTCACAGACAGCTGACAGCACCCACAATCTGAGAAAGATGTCTATTTACAGGTGTTTCACTTGATCATCACAGGAAGGGGTCACATTTAAAAATCTTATTAGGAATATTCTATAACATTATGGAATCATAGAATGGGTTGGGTTGGAATGGACCTTAAATATCATCTAGTGAGTTTAGGATTTATTATATATTGTAAATTAGCATGCAGTAAGAGTTTAAGGGACGTACACAATTAGTGCTTTGACATTAACTGGTGTATCTGTCAGGAAAAAATCTCATGGAGAAAGTTGCCACTTCTCACAGGCAAACTCACTGAAATGCAATCACTTACTGTGGTTCTGGCACCTGTTTCAGTGGAATTGCCAAGATAATGTGAAGAAGATTGAGGCAGAAACCTGTGGTTGGTACCTGGTTCCCCTTTAACCATAGGCTGATAATGACAAGTGACATCCACCTAAAGAGTCCCTTGACATGTCTTTTCATGGTGTCCAAATAAAGCATGAACCGGGACATCTGTCCCCAAGCATGGACTGGGATGGCTAATTCCAGTGTCAAGGCAGAGGAGGAGGATACCCTGGAGGAAGCTCCACTAGAAGGCTCTAATAACTCCACCAGCCACAGATTCATGGCTAGCCATGCTGCAAAACTGTGGTCAGGCTCCCTGCCCAGCCAACAGAGAGGAACAACTGGCCCATGTTCTGTCAGGGATTTGAGACTCCTCCATCTGAAATTGAATTAAATGCTGTTATTATACCACCATGCTAACTGAAACTGCTCTTTGTTCGCTTGGATTGCAAAAGTAGATCTATAATTTGAGGGAAATCGAACATTTTAAAAATGTTTCAGCTATAGATTCACTGAGGAAAGTCGTTCCAGGACAGCAGATAAAAACATGCATTTCAGAAGCCTTCTATTAGGTGGTTTAGTTGGGAAAGCCTATGAAAAGAGAACAAAAAGAGAAGTTTGCAATCTGCACCCCCAAATAATAAAAGACAAAACCATCAAAGTTAAGATTTATGACGGTTTAATCACAAAGCCATTCTGGCATACCAGAGGAGTGCAGGGCAGCAGACACCACCACAGCTGAGTCAGCCTAGAGCTGAAATCTCTCAGCTTCATTGCTCTCTTTGGGTTAAACTTTACTAGCAGAGCCATTGTGTATTTAATATAATAAAGGCGACTGCAGTTTGCCAGCCTGTAGCTAATTCCAAGGGGAATGGGAGTGGACAACAAGTCTGAACAAAGCCATCATTATAAGGATATCATTTCCCACAACTCTATTTAGCCAACACACAAAACATTGGAAGTATATTTGCATGTATGGCATCAAAAAGCACATTTTTACAGAGTAAAGAAGCTGCAACTGGATGACTGTGAGACAAAATCTCAACTCCAGAATCTGCATTTTGGCAATCCATGCCATTAAAGGAAAAAAAAGCCCACCAAAACCCAATAGGTATTAGTGAGCAGGAGATAAGGGTACTATTTTAAAATTTAATTGCAATACCCAGATTCAAACTCTGCTACAGCTGCATAAATGTAGGCAAACTCCATTTGCTCAAACAATTCTGCATGTACCTCCCTCAGGACCAGGGTTCACATTTGCTCTCCTGTCACTTCAAAAAAGAATGTGGGTGTTTGTATAATGTCACTGAAGTCATTGCACCCTTCCATCACCACTGTTTACATGATGTAAAATCCCTGTTGCTATTTGATACACACAGAAAATAACTGAATTTCACTGATTTCTATTCTCCTCAACAACCAACATTTCATATATCACAAGCCACACAGAACCTGGCCTGACCAACACAAGAAGTGAGGTTTCTGTAGAGAAATTAAAGGATGATTTACAAAAGTAAGAATATGGGTTAAGTTTGCAGAGTAATTGCACTGCATCTTCAGGATTTTCTTACTAGTGACTTCCACAAAGAACCACAAGGCAAATGCTTCCTTACCTTAATCATTACTCAGTATTATCAGATCCACTAGCCTTAGTAAGCAGCTTCAAACTCTGCTAGGAAATGTAAAGAAACAGAACAAAAAATTCTTTTTGTCCCAGGGATTTACAATCTAAATGCATATTTTATACAAAAAGGTGACAGTAAAGCGTTAATAAGGTTTAATACGGTTTGAATACTGCAATGTAACCTGTCTGGATTTTTGTTATTTTCAACAAGTTTTACTTTCCTTCTCTGTACATCAGGGAGGGTTTGCACCTCCAATGCAGCAGGAAACACTTAAAATGTTTTTTGGTTTTTTTTTAATCAGTTTGTTTTATTTGGAAATTTTGAGCCAGTATGAATACATCACAGTTTCAATACCAATAAATATTTACCTTGAGTGCATCTGAAAATACACAAAGCACTACAAAACATATATTAGTTACCCAAGAGGTACAACTCCTTTACAATCGTTTCTAATGATGCTATTACTGGCATGACTAACTTTTTTACAACTCATTAGGTACCATTTTGGCACCAAGCCTATCTATTGGACAACTACATAGCTATGTAATTTAACTTCTCTGGAGGAAAAGAGAACTGCTCTACCATTTCATACCTCCAAAAGAAGAAACCTTAAAGACTCAATGGAGAAACAGATCAGTCCACCAGCTCAAGAACTTCAGCTCTTTTCCAACTTCAAAAAAAATTGCAATTAGAGTACAATACAACCTTCTAAAATTAGGAACACAATAAAAGTCTCATTGAGTCACAACAGTCCAAGTCAGCTCATTTGAGATTATCTTAGTATGGTAATATATTTCTGAGGAGGGACGCTGCAATGTACACTTATGCAATAATGTGCCTACAGGGGAAGCGGTTTCTCCAGAACAGAAGTCTTTTATCATTTACTAAAATTATTTTAAGCACCAGCTTTGATATGGATGTGTCTATTGTTCACCTGACACCTAAAACCTGCCATGATTTTGGCTTTTATACTATTTAGCAACAGGATTCCATAGATACCTATATGCTACATTTGAAATAGAAGCCCATTTTTTATTTTGAGGATATATTTTCTCAGCCTTTGAGGAA